GAGCGGCCGACAGAAAATATTGAAATAGCACGAATACCAAGCGGTAGGGTTGGGAGTATTTTTGGCTTAGCCTGCTCGTCCTTCATTGGTACTGTCATACTGGCATGCGGGAATGATTATTGCGAATGCCTGTGTGTTTATGGTAGGATACATTCCGATGAGAAGTAGCCTAGATAAGTAACTGGAATAGGTAATGGCGGGCGTATTGTATGGCTGGTGAATGATGCTTTTATTTTATTGACTTTACTAATGGTTTGTGGTTGACTTTTTGAGACAGAACATGAATTTACGTGTACCTTTGATTAGGTCTAAACCGGGAGCATACTAGGCTTTGATCTTGTGACGCGTTTTTTTTAATATGACTCACCAGCACAACTAATTGGTACAGTACCATCTCTAGCCCTAGCGTCTTGGCCGTCCTTTTTATCCTTTCTATGTTTAGTATTTCTATGCATGCACCTTCGCCGATTTTGTACGATCCCTCCATCACAGTCAACCTCTATCAGCCTGAGCGCTCTGCCACGCCGCGGTATCGGGAGGCTCACGCGTTTACGGCGGCGCATATTGGTTCGAAATCATCGGGGAAACCTGGCGCCTTGTCTGGATGAAAGTGTCTAGCATAATAGCAAAAGGCGGGCATCCTGGGAGACTGCGGAGGCTATCTATTCCATCATCGTCACTGCCGACGCTGCGCCGAAGCTGATCGATGATGCGGCATATTGAGAGCAGCCTACTCCTGGATGCGAGCAGCGTACTAGCACCCGACAACGCCGGCCTTGAAGTTCTTTTCGGCGAGGTTTGCGTCTACTGCGAATGCGATACCCGACTATTTGGTAGTGGTTCGTTCATGGAGCGGCGGCATCGCTCCTCCCAGACGGATCTGGTTTACGATGCTGACAGGCATTTCTTGCAGATTGAGGAAGAAAAAGAATGCGGATGTTTTAAGATTTTGCATTCGATAACTCAAAACGCCTTTGAATATTCGAATATTCCGGCCTCTAAATTTATGTGCAGAGGACTAGGTGAATTTAATTGGCCTTGAGTGTCCAAGTACTGTGGCCAGAACTGCCCTGTTGGCTTCGTTCATCTATGTTTTATACGGAGCAGTTTCTGCAACAGGAGTGGAGTGGTCACGTTGTTCGTGACCTGCCTTTTTGGTAACTTAGGTATAGTAACTTCGGCAAACCACTACAGGCTGCGTGAGTAAGTGGAAAAGTTTGTCTGATTTATTGGAACAGACGCACGCGAAGACAAAACATCCGCACAGCAAGGACATGCATGTATTGATGACGTTGCTGGTTTCTCGCAAACTATGGAAAATAATCATAATGGAGCAGGAGCGAAATTTTGAGAAAAAAAGGCAGAATAGCTTGTGAGGTGTATGTTGCTACCCGGCGCCAACTATCCCACATATGAGGACGGATTGGGACGGACTCAGGTCGCCGCCGCCCCCCGCAGTCCGAACCCCTCCTCCCCCGCCGCCGTCGGCGGAGCTGGAGACTCCCGGCCAGCTCGGCCACATCCGCTCCAACCAATCGTTGGACTCTTGGTTATCGATGGCCGGCCGCGCTCGGCGCCTGCCCCCGTCGGCACCGCATCCGGCGGCGCAATTAACGAGCGCCACCGATTCAATCGGCCCCTAATATTCACTTATCGGCTCTTTGCAGGCAGTCCATGGCGGGTCCAAATCGGAGCAGTCGCTCACGAGACGGTCCGCCTGCCCGGCGTGGATTTAATCGTGATACCGGCACGGCTGTCTGATGGGCTCATGTATTCTAGGATATCTACGCTATTGGATCAACACCCACACTTTTACTGGTAATCGCCTACAGATGAGGATAAAAACGAAATACGGATTCGGTTGAGTGCCCCTTGTGTGCATTTGATCGTCATTGAGCTGATGGACAGCCCTGTGCTTTTGGGAGAGCCCCAATTTCAACGAAAACTTCTGAATGATACGTGTAGATGCAAATACATCACTTGTATTGCCACTTCGTGGAACAATAGTGATTATGGAAATTCATCGGCCAAACTAGCTTCATCGCCCCAATCATGCGTAGGGTCGTGCCATTTTAGTTAGTTGCCACTACCACTGCACCAGCACTTCACTTGAACATTGACGTCCATCAAAACAGTCGTATGTGGTAAATTTTGGTTGCTACTTACGTTTATTAAAAGTAGTGGCATAATGATATTGATGACCTAAAGATCGTTAATGCTAAAAAATTGTTTCGCTATGAATTGAAAAAATGCTGCTTATGTGATCTTCATATCACTGAGGTTTTCACACGTTTTTATTTTTGCATCATCGTTATTCGTTACGATAAACGTGATAACTGATAAGAGTATTTCTCTTATCTTATCACCTCAAAGAAATAACAATTGTATTATTATTGATGGTATTCTTTACCTTAACCCTATATTCAGTACCATACAGTTGCAGTTATGTCATACATTGACGTCCTCGGTCCGGTCTGCACGGTAATCACGTTCACGTAGTTGGCTGATGTAAGGTCGATCCCCCGCTGACGAGTTCTCTCGAGAGAACCACACCGCCCCCTCCCATTGTTCCCCCTCTCCCCTCACTTCGCCGTGCGTCCCTACCCGATCCGTCAACATACCTTACCGTCTCCGCCGTTAAGGTGGCTAGTCTAGTCAAGTAATTTGTGCTCGGAAATATCCTTTGTCCTCTCACGGCTAGTCGTTGATTCCTGGGATGGTAAATTGAACATTCAGACTTCTGTCCGAGAGGATAGGGGTGGACAAGTATGAGAAAATGTGCGTCACGGGCTAATTGAATACCACGCATGCGAACATAACACTGCCTGACCTGGTTAGTCATTCATGTAACCGAATGCTTTCGGCGCCCAGGCTCTGTCTGTTATTTTGTTCTGAAAAGTCCATGTGAGTAATGCTCGCATGTTACTGTACATTTAGTAATGTAGTTACATTGATGAGAAACGAGTCGCATTAGCGAGCCGTACGCCGGGCTATTATTTGACCCGCGCGTGTCACGATGTCCCCATATCGCTTTATCAGGCGCTTCACTGGAATGGATCAAGGGGTCTGCGTCACCGTCAGTACACGCCGGCTTACTATGGATCACGGAATTACGATCGCATTGGCTGCCCTCTGGTATATTACACGCGGATCTCTCCAAATGTGCGTCAAATTGTTAAAGGTAGTGTGCCACCTTTGAAAGATTTCCCATTTTATTTTTCCTAGGAAAAGAAGCTTCTGTTTTTACCTAATATCGCAACAAAAATCAAAAATGGGCCTGGAATAGTGCCTTTTTCGCCTAAAAGTTTATCGGTTTTTCGATATGTATAACAACTGTAGTGGGCTGAGCTGCAAACAGGCGTCGGCAACAATCGCGAATGCGGCGCACATGTGACAATAAGCAAAGGTCATTATAGAGTTACGACGTACGGGAATGAGTGATCAGCTGTCTAATCGTAGACAACACAATGTCGAGCCTTAAACTGTAAGCCTGTATTGGTATTGTTTCTTTTATTTGGCTGTCGAACATTATTTATGGTTTGAAATATGATTTTATGTAAAATAATTGATATGAAAAAGCCGTCTCTTAAGTTATGACCCCATTTCACCACACGCAAGTGGCAGAAATGACAATGATCAGCTGACGCATTTTTCTTGGCCGAAGTCAGAGCGCGCGGCCCGACGCACCACCACCGCACCACAAAGTATGAGCAGAAGCCGCGCCCAAAGCCAGGGCCCCGGTAACGTGAGGTAGCCGAGTCGGTGCAACGTGCGCTGACCCAAGCCGGGGCCGCAGCTTTGGGCGCGGTCTACCGCATCCCCCCCGGGCTATCACATGACACCGGGAGGACGCGCGGCCCCGGCTTGGGTCAGCGCACGCTGCCCCGACTCGGCTACCTCACGTTACCGGGGCCCTGGCTTTGGGCGCGGTCTACCGCACCACCTAACAGGCGTGTTCGAAACCGCAGGAGATGATGATGAACGGGTTTATCGAAACTTGATTGGATGAGCATATCGGTAATAGCGATTTCAGTGTGTGCATTTATTGTTCATAGTGGTGTGAAATGTGGTTGGGGTACGACCGACAACCCGTCGGGGCGAATTTCGCACTGGGGTACTCAAAATTTGAAGAATTTAAGACGTTTCCATGAGTTTTGAAGGTATGGATAAGTTCTAAAAATCCGGTTCTCCTTATCTGGGCCATTAACTCCATACGGTCCAGGAAAGCTGGCACACTACCTTTAATTAATTAGGGAGTGGAGCGTTTCATTTGTGCTGATGGATCCGCCGTATGCGTGATTCAGATGGGTTTCTTGAGGGAGTGTCTGAAATAAAAGCAGAGCTTATGATAGAAGCACTTGAAGCTTATATGTAAAATTTTTCTTTAATTGCATTAACCGATGCATTAGTTAATTATGAATTTTCTCCTTCGATCATTTCCTACTACTTTTTTTTTTTTTTTTCATACATTTTATTAACACAATTCACATAAAACACAAACAAAAATAAGCATAAAACATTTTTGTGCTCCCATCGGCGACCCGCCTGGCCAGGCCGGGACGGTGTCAATCCGTGACATATGCCGTCCCGGCCCCGGGGAGAGCTGTGGGATACCTCCCCAGCCGGGGAGATCTGATGGCTACCTCCCCGGCGCTCCAGGCGGGCCGCCAGCCCCCGCCCGCACCGCCCGGCAAGCAGCCCCGGGCGGTGCCCCCTAGCCACCGACCGGGCGAGCGAAGCGTCGACCCGTCTAGGTCGGCGCTCCGCACGCCCGGCCGGCCGACCGGCCCCTCACAGGAGGGGCCAGTCCCGGGTTGGCCCGGATGGGTCATGGGGGCGGGGGCTTGTAGCGCGCACATCGTTTTCCACTAACACTTTATATAACAAACACCATATGCATACATACAAGGGACAGTCATTTTAACATTGTGTATCATCGACACCTGACATTTGCCCCTTCCCCCTTCCCATCGTAGAAAAAAAAAACTGTACACATCATGTTGCACTACGCAAACATCGTGACACACAACAATAATTAGTCACAAAGTGCTTGTTTCATATTCTAAGGCGGTTACCTTTCTACACGCTCCGCTAAAGCGCAAAACAGCGAGCCCCAGGTATCGTTGAATTTCGTTTCTCGATCATTTATTTTATAAGCATACCTTTCTACTTTAAGATAGTTGTACAGGTAAGTGACGAATGTGGGCTCAGATAAGTGACTATTGCATTCCCTCTTATACCATATAAACTGTTTTCCCAATGAAAGAATAGTATTGATGCGCTTGCAGACCGCGGAATCGTTGTGCTCAAAACCGGTGACTACGACTTTGTATGTAATATTGCGCTCGTTAAATAACTCACCAATACTGCTCCAAAAAGCCCTTACTCGGTGGCAATGCCAGAATAAATGTCCAATTGTTTCCACCTGGTGACAGTACGTACATCGATCCGTATCTTTGATGTTACAAGTAAAAAGAAGTTTGTTTGTTGGTAAAATTCTTTTTATGCATCTGTAATTCAACCATTTTAGATTAACATCTTCAACAGCGTAATGCAATCGTGCGTAAATAGCAGGCCAATTCAGCCGCCTTCCACCTTCAAGCTCTGCTTCCCACTTTGTGTGCGATTTTTCACCCCGAGTAGTATCTAATACTTGTTCTAATAACTTGGAGTATGCCCATCTTGCTGGTTTAGATGAATTTTGCAACTGTTCTATAGATGTTGCATTGACACTTCTCTGAAGGTTTCGTATTTTATTGCTCCAAGCGGTTGGCACTGCGTTTTTTATTGCCGCTGAAACCATTGGGTGCACACCAAATTTTTGTGAAATTTCATTAACTGTCATTAATTCTTTCTTTCGTAAGTTACATATATCTGCTAGTCTAATGATACCTTTTTCTATTAAATGTTTCCTGTTGATATTGGCATTGCTTTCTATGTTCAAATCTTTGTTCGCCCATAATATGCTATTTTGCAATTGATCTGTGGCACTAAGATTAGCTCCGTTAATGTTATTCCATGCAATGCACGTTTCCTCCCAAAAAGTATTCTTTACCGTGTTTTTTATGTACTTTGCATTTGTATTGCAGTGAAACAGCGTTATGTCGTCATTTAGAAAAAGCATTGGGGTCACCAGGCCCTTCCACTTAGCATCGTGGCTTTTATCTAGGAGTCTTTTTATCCAGGTAACCTTTAAACTCTGTGCCTGAAGTGCTAAGTCTGGCACCTTTAGGCCGCCACCTTTATATTTACTTTTTAATGTCATACGTTTGACTTTATCTTTCTTTCCGCCCCATATGAATTTGAACATGAGCTTTTCTACTTCTTTTATAAATGGTTTTGGAGGAGCTGGAAGCACTGTCATAACATACACCAGCTGAGATATCAATTCGGTTTTCAAAAGGTGAACGCGCCCGTATGGAGTAAGACCGCGACCTATCCATGGCGCTAGTTTATCCTTCATTATGACAAATTTCTCATTATAATTTATTTCTGAAATGTTAATATTCGGGTTGTTAGATACCTTCACGCCCAATACATTAATGGGTGTCGTTGGCCACTGGATATTAAATTGCGTGCAAATCGGCTTTCTTAAATGCCCGTTCCTACCCAACCATAGAGCTTGTGACTTATGCCGGTTCAATTTCAGCCCAGATGCTGTTTCGAAGTCCTCAAAGGTATCCATACATTTATTTAGAGATAGCTCAGATCCATCCATGATAATCGTTAAGTCGTCAGCGTAGCTAGATACTTTAACATTTGCTTCGTTAATTGTCAGTCCTTTAATTGCATTTTCTTTACGAATTCTCTCTAGAAGTGGTTCAAAGCATATGATAAATAAGAGACAACTCAAAGGGCATCCCTGTCTAAGGCCTCGCTCAATTTTATACGGGCTTGACAATTTACCGTTTATTTGCACATTTGCCTGACATGATGTATCCTGCCCACCATTGTAAATAATATCAATCCATCTACAAAAGTCTCTTCCAAACCCAAATCGTTTCAATGTCTTTTTCATGTAAGACCAATCAACGCTATCGTAAGCCTTTTCTTGGTCACATGCTAGTAGGATTGCAGGAATATTTTTGTTTTTACATGCCTGCATGACGTCAAGTATTAATCGAATGTTTTCACCTATGTATCTCCCTTTCAGGAATCCAGTCTGATCTACATTTATTATGTTCGGTGCAGCATTCGCTAGTCTTGTGGCTAGCAACTTTGTTATGATTTTGTAAAATGTATTCAGGAGACTAATAGGCCTTAAGTTTTCGATTCTTCTTGGATCTTTGTTCTTTTTGGGTATCAAAACTGTGACACTCTTCTTAAGATTTGACGGCATTACTCCGGAACTAAAAATTTCTTTACATGTAGCGAATACTAATGTTTTCAGCTCTGACCAAAATACTTTGTAAAATTCTCCAGTGTATCCTGATGGCCCAGGAGAGGTATTATTTTTTAATGAAAAAACTGTTCGGGTCAGCTCTTCCATCGTAATGTCTGCATCGCATGTTTGTCTATCATGTTGTGTTACTTGACTTAACCCTTCTGTAAAGTCAATTCGTGACTCATTCCCAATACGGCGTTCAAATAGCGTTTCGAAGTACCTTTTTCCTTCCTCCAACATTTCCTCGGTTTTGTTAGTAATGGTACTCTGGTTGCCCTCATTTATATACATTTCTCTCGTAATGTTTTTGGGGAAATTTCGCTTAGTTATGCCGTGGAAATATTTTGAACCCTTCTCTGCGAATGCCCTCCAGCGCACTTTATTCCAAAATATTCCTTTTTCTGTTTGATCAGAAATAATTTCATCTCTCTTCCTTCGCAGTTCGTCACACTCGCCATTCAACGCATTATCACCTTGCTTTTCGTTTATTTTCATTTCAATTTCTTTGAGTTCGTTCAAACAAATTCGTTTCTTGGTTGCAACGTACTTTATGATTTCTCCCCTTACAACACAAAGCGTCGTCTCCAGCAATATTGTACTGGAGGAGGCACTTTGTTCGTTTGAACTAATTACTTCAGGTATTCTGTTTTGGATCAATGATACAAATTGATCGTCTTTCAAAAGATCATTATTAAATTTCCAATATCCTTTTCCTATGTCAACATTGGAAATATTTATCGACAAAGTAATTAACTTGTGATCTGTTAGGTATCCGTCTACAATCTTTGCGCTTGGCCTCTTTTCACTGTACATTAAAGTTTCGCTCACGAGGAAAAAATCTATGCGTGATCTACTAGTCGGGTTATTTCGGATAAAGGTGTACTCCTCCTTTACTGGATTGATTTCACGCCAAATATCGATTAAGTTCTTTTCAGACATCAGGCTTAGGATGACTTCTTTGTTTCTATTATTATTTGCTACAATCCTTGCTGAACTTCGTCTATCTTTTCCCAAGTCGAAGCAGAAATTAAAGTCACCTCCTACAACAATCGTGCTATCGTCGTAATCATTTAGTTTTGCGCAAAAATCTTCTAGCATGCTTGGGTTATCGTGATTTGGCGCATAAACGTTCCCTATCGTCATCCTAGCACCATTGAATTCGGCGTTGAGGATAATGTAGCGACCATTATCGTCACTAAAAACATTGCTAAAAACGATGCCAGAGTTTGGTCGTGCTAGTATTCCCACGCCTCTGCTGTTTTTCTCTCCATGAGCGAAATATCCACTGCCTCCCCATTGATTTAACCACATCTGGGCGTCTGATTCTGATGAATGCGTTTCTTGAAGAAGAATAATATCTATTGCTTTCTGTTTAAACCAGGTAAATATTTTACGCCTTTTTGGCATTTTTCGTTGAGCGCAGCCTCGTAGCCCGTTTACGTTGAGAGACGCTATTTTAAGCTTAGGAGACACAAACATTTCCTAAATTTAGCATTCCACGGTCTGCATGCGCATCGTCGCTCCATCTGTGAAATTTATAGATGGAGTGCAATGTAATACTGTTTCGATAATATTTTGAGTTTTGACCCGTAATGCTCCCGCAGAACCCTCCCATCCCCCCTCCCACTGGACGCAGCGTACGCACGCTGTGCCAACGAGCCGGCACCGATCGCCCGCAGCCGCACCGCCGGCCGGCCGCCAGATGGCGTTTTTATTTCGCGCGAAAAAACAAAAAAATCAGCATACGCATTATTTAAACGTAGGCACGCTAACGTTACATCTCACTTACGAAAAAGAAACGCAAAATGTAAAGCACATCGCCATAATTTTATGTAACGTTTCCGTAACTTTCATACAATGTAAAGCACTGCGACCCTTGTCAGAACGATCATCGCGATGTAGCCTGCATTCCAAGGAAATTCAAGAGATATCAGTACCCCCAGCAATACACACACCGACACACCCCTCCCCTGCAACCCGCGGTACTGTTACCTGTACAGGTAATTGCCGACGAAACCGTGGTCACCTGCATTAGTCCAGGTACAGACGTCGCGCCAGGCTGTACTGGAGACGAGCCGTCGCGACAGATCACCGTCGCCCGTCCGCGGCCGCGCCGCCCGAGCCGGGCTCGGCAGCCGACCGACCGGAGCCGCCGTCAACTCGGCCAGACCGCCACGCCGCCGGCGCCAGCCGCGCGTCCAGGGGGCCCCCGCGCGCTCCGCCGCCGCCGTCGTCGTTTGCGTCGCGGACGGCACGAACATCAGCAGCAGCAGCGGCACCGGAGCGATCGACATCGGCCCCGCCAGCCGCCGCCGGACGCCGGCCGTCGGGACGGGCGGCCCCGCCGAGGAGTGACGTCACCTGGTCCATGCTGACCATCTTCTGACCTCGAGACTCGCTGTCCAACTTGCAGAAGACCGCACCTCTCCTTGAGTACACGGTGTAGATTTTTTTACGCTTTTTTGCTTCGAGCAGAGCGTTGAAGATCTCCTTGTTCATAGCTGATAACGACTCATTGATATAGAGAGGTGCCGCCGGTCGATCTCCATGGTTTTGTACTCTGGCTTGCTTCATCCTTCTCTCGTAAATGTCGTCCTTAACCTTGGTCTTGAAAAACTTTACAATGACTGTGCTGTCACCCTGGAGTCTGTGAGCGGTCTGGATGTCGCTGCCGGTGACATGTACCTCAGGGAGGCGTCGATTGAGGACAGATATCACCTTTCCTTCGATATCTTCATCGCGCTCCCTTTTTCCAAATTCCTCGCTCTTGAGTATCAGGCTGTTCATTCGTCTGTTGGTATCTATGCCTTCTAGCTGCTCCTGTAGAGCCTTAATGGTAGCTTCTTGAGAGCTAACTCTGTCCTTCAGTACGTTTGTTTCGGCATCTTTCAAGAACAGTTCACCTTCCATGATTTCAATACGTCTCTCCATACTTCTAAACTTTTCCTCCATGAGCTTCGTCACCTTTTCGATGCCTTTATCTATAATTGATTTCACGGCATCTAAGGACTCGCCGTCCAGACGGCATGAGTGCTCACCTTTTTCTGCGCTGTCTTTTTCTCTGCTGGAACGCTTGCTCTTTTTTTGACGTCTTTGTCCGTGTCCGTCATCCAGAGCCTGCATCATCTCTGGGAAAGAACACTGACGTTTTCGGCCACCTCTCCCTATCAGAACGGAGCGATCAGTGTCCTCGGCGTCACCGAACACGGAGTCCAGCTCCGATCCACCAGTGTCCGTGGTCATTTCACGCATCGACACCGAGACGAGCCGAAAATATCACTGTGTCCACCGCGAACGGGTACAGGCGTACACAAACACAAGTGTTCCACAAGGCTATTCCAGCGGCCGGCCGGTAACTGGCGCGGCTAGGCGACCCTACCGGCCCGGTACCTGTCCCTCAGGGCACGGCCGGCGACCCTCGCGCTCGGAGCGTCCGACCTCCACCGCCGCCGGGACGGGAATGCATTTCCTTCCCGGCGGCATTTCCTACTACTTCTTAATTGCTATTGATACACTTGGGCTATCGCACAATCATTGAAATTATAAGTAATGACGCATTGTCCGATGAAGTTTATTCATCCATGGTTCACGCAGTGTCCACGAGTGTATACGCCGAATCCTATTGTCGATGCGTAAACTAATAGATAGTCTGGATCCAGTGGAAGGCTATTTATCCCATGTGCCATTCAGAGTACACAATCAATGACAAAGCTCCATTGGTTGTCAGCCGTCACCATCTATATCCGATAAGTTCCCACGGTGACCACACGGGAGACACCCGTATGGGCTCGTCTGTGATGGTCATCTCGACCCTCGGGGGCGGTGGACCGTGACCCCCCCCCCCCCTCCCCGCGCGGTCCGTGTCGGCGCCGACGCGGTCGGCGCCGACGCGGCCGGCGGCCGTGCGAGGTGGGTCGCGTCGCGCCCGACGTCAGTCGCACGCGGGCGGCCCGCCGACGGGGGCGCGCGGAACCGACGCGGTGCGAGCCAGAGAGTCGCCGAGTCGTCTCACCTACCCAGTCTCGGCGCGGACCTACTCTGACCGGCCGGTGAGTACAGAGTCCGAGTCAACCGACCCCGGGGATGGCGCGGTGCCGAGTGTCGCACTTCTCTGGCTCTTGATTTTTCGCACTTACCTATCGGCCGCTTATTTTCCTGGTCGGCGTGATTATGATTGGAAGAATTTGACTGAGATAAGAGATATCATTATTGCAGTTTAACAATCACAAAATCCTTCCTCATTTATTTAACTGATAACGCTTGAAATTTGAGAACTGATGAAATGATTGTGGATCCAGACCCGTTCCCTAGACCTTATGTTCCACTGTCATGCATACATGACGGACCACTGTTAGA